TTCCCACGGGAGGAGGCGCATGTTGCTTTCTGGATCCCGAAGCTTTTAACAGTTCAGAATTTTCCAGACTCTCACACCCATTCATATTTTAGCATAAGCCATGCATTTCTGAGCTCAAAGCTCTAGTCCCACCAGGAACTAACACACAGCTAAGTCATTGACAATTAACGGGATCCCAAGTGAGTATGGCTTTACTTCCCTCGGGTTGGCTGGCGGGTTTAGAGAGCACAGCCCTAAATTAGGGAGGTGCAAGCATGACACGTCATTGCTCAAACTGTGGCATCCCCACTTTCTTGACAATCCTCCCTTCTTGCCACCTCTGTCTCTCTCTTTCTCCCTCTTCCCTGCTCTTAGTATTTCTCGAGGACCTACTGTGTGCCAGGCAGTGTTCTTGGGGTGGGGTTACATCAACGAACAAAACAAAATCTTTACTCTCCATGAGAGTATATAGTAGTAGGGAGAGATAGACAATTAAAAAAAAATAGAAGAGTAATATAGGGCGTGACTAAGGGAAGGGCAGTGACTGCTAATGGTTTCAGGTTTTGGGGGTAATAAAAATGTCCTAAAACGGAATGTGGTTATGGCTGCACAGCTCAGGAAACAGACTAGACATCATTGAATTGTGTACTCTAAATAGGTGATTTGTATTTCAATGATATCTCAGTGAAGCTGTTATTAAAATAAAGAACAACACAACAACAAAAATGAGAGAATGCGATAGGGTAACTGCTGGAGAGAAGGGTAAGGCAGAGGAGGGGATAAAGGTCCTCAAAGGGTCATAATTTTATCCTTATCCCCGGACATGTCCATTGACTTGAGAGAGGTGGTGGGGTGGAGGGAAGAGAGAGAGAAACATCAATCAGCTGCCTCCCATACTTGCCTCGACTGGGGACTGAAATCGCAACCCAGGTATGTGCTCTGACTGGGGAGTGGACACACTGACCCATGGTGTATGAGATGATGCTCCAACAAATGAGCCAGCAGGCCAGGTCGGTGTGCCTGCTATGTTCAAGGAACAGCATGGCCCGGGTGGCTGCAGTTCAGTGGGTCAGAGGGGAGAGTGGAAGATGTCTGAGTGATGTGGGTGGGGGCCTGGAAGCAATTCTGAGAACTTTGGGTTTTCCTCTGGATCAGATGGGAGCCAGTGGAGGATTCTGACCAGAGGAGAGACGAGATCTGATATATGCTTTAAAGGAATCCTGCCGTGACAAGCAAGTGAACAGACACTAATCACAGAGCCTTGCTGTATGCCAGGCACGTGGCAAACTCCTTCATGGGCATTAGCCCATTGAATCACCACAGCTACACTCTAAGTGAAGGACTATTATTCTCTCTGTTGTGGGAAACTGAGGCTCGGAACAGGTTAGGAACTTGACTCACATCAGCAGCAGGGCCAGGGCACAGACCAGGTCTGCCTGACGATACAATCCTCAGCTTCTCCGCGGCCATCGCGGCACCGTTTTGTGCCCACGGCAGGTGTTCAACCAAAGGCGCCACCTGGCTGGCCACCAAGCCCTGCCCTGCGGCGGGGGCACCTGAGGGACAGAGAGGGCGAGAGAACGTGTATCCACTTACTCAGTTCTGCGATGCTGCCCACGCGGGTGGCCAGCAAGGACTGCTCGATGGTCCTCAGCTCCGACTGGCTGAACATGGGCATTTCTCCCGGCTTGTTTGCCCGCTGCGGGTCCCTGTGCAGATTCAGGCTGTCTGGCAGGCACAGCACTCCTGCAGGCCGGGGAGGAGGAAAGGAAGAGAGAGCAGATCGTTACTTTTTGGCTAACAAAAGGAGGGGCATCAAACCGGGCACAGCCTTGGACCACACCAGAGCTGGGACCACAAACCCAACATGACAACAAAGACTCCCTTCAGAAATGATATCTAGCTATTTTAAAAGGCTTCCTCAAGGCTCTGACCTGCTAATTTTAACAAATATGCGGGCATTGGTCTGTATGCACATTTCCACAGGACACAAAACAGAGCAGGATTCTATCTGCTCAGTGATGCCTCATTCTCCATCAACTGGGTGTCCTGGGGGGATGGCCTCTGCTGCAGTCACTTCTGAGGACTTGCTTTATTTGCCCAACAAATTGAACTCCCCTGCCTGGATTGTTATCTGTTAGATAAGGTTCTCGCTTTCTCTGGAGAGTTCAATGCCAGGAGGTAAAGAGTCCCATGGAAATCCCTTCCCTTCCTTTCCATTCCATAGACACTTGGTGAGAACCTCAGCACTTACTCTGGTACTTTAGGCAGAAGTATTACCCGGTCCCAACCTCCAAAGGCAGAGTGTGCTTTCTTGCTCCTTGGGTTTCATGACTCACTCTGGCCAAAGGTATGTACATGAACACGATGGAACTCAAGGCCTGCAGAGCACCTGTGCAGTTGAACTTGCTCTCTTGCACCTCTGCCATCATCATGAGAGAAACATGCCCTGCCTAGCCTGCTGGTCTAAGGAGGGTGAGAGAGACACAGAGCAAACCCAGTGACAACCTGAAGCTTAGAGCTGCCCCACAAACACACATGCTCACTTGGTATGTCTTTGAGATAGTGGGGGTTGTTTGTTACTCAGCATTATGATGATGATAACTAACAGATACACCTATGAAGTGCCAATCACTGAGTATATGAAGATACAATGAACAAGGCAGGCACTGAGCTGTGTTAGGGGCTGAGGACACAGTGATGGACAGAACACATACACTCCTGTTCTCAGTGGGCTCACAGTTTCAGCAAAGGAGGCAGCTGATACACACAAAGCACAAGGTCATGTGATAAATTCTCTATGGTAGGAGGAAATGAGGAATGAAGGCATGGGACCTGAATAATGAATAGTTGTCAATAAGTAGAAAGCACTTACTGAATACCTGCTATATTCCAACCATGTTAGGCATTTTGAAGATGCAAAAGAAGCAGAAGATGCATTAAGTAGTTTATGAACCAACTAAAGTGACAAGACTGGCAACAGCATAATTTAGGAACAATAGGATAGTATCGATATATAGGTGCTGAATTATTTAAGACAACTGGCAGGGCGAGGGGAAACAGACAGAATGTCTGTAGTTCAAAGGTCAGTAGTTCAAGTCCACTCCTCATTCTGCTTGAACCACAAAAGCTCAGCAAACAAAGGTTCCTCCTCTGAAGATGGGCGGACGTGCGGTGGCACCTGTCACACGCCTCTCTGGCCCCTGCTGCCTCATTAGTGGCTCCAGCCATACCGAGCCAGTCGCTTGTTCCTGAAGGTTTCACCTTCACACCTAAAGGCTGATACAACGGAGAAGGTAGCTACAGAAGACCTTTTCTGGATGAATAATGAATGAACAGACGAATGATGCAAATGCAAATGATGGTTCAGTTTCAATGTTCCTATAATCAGGAAACTGGTCAAATAAGTTTCTTCCTAAGATTATTCTTTAAACCATTGTTTTTCAAACCTTTTTGACTGTGACCCGGAATAAGAATGTATTTTATATGAGGACCCAGTACACACACCACCACCACCACCACCACCACACACATACACTCTTCATGTTCTCCATGAAAAAAACAAAACAAAAAAACAAAACAAAAAACAACTTCATGGAAAATAATACTGACTCTTACTATTATTACATAAAGCACTCTCAATTTTTTTTCTTTTTACTTCTATTTTATTAACTTAAAAATGCTATCTGCAGCATCAGAAGGGATTTCACTTTGAAAAACACTGTGGACTGTGCTGGTACACAAATTGGCTTTAGCTGGACAACACGGAACCACCACTCACTGGACATTGCCTAGAGCCGGGCAGGCTCTGCAGGGGATGTGGAGATGACCGAGAGGTGATCCCTGCACTTCAGCAAACCTCGGCTTTTCAGGGAACACAAGGCCTTCGCAGAAATTCCCATCACCCAAGACTGGCCTCTTGCCTGACCCCTTTTGCTGAACAGCTGAGTCATCCTCCTGATGACTGGGGATGCCCTGAGTCATCCTTACTTCCTCCTGTTTGTTCACAGGTCTAGACATTTGGTCCGAGGCCAAGTCAAGTAGACGTTGCCATGGCAACGGTGTCAGGCCAATTCCTCAATCTACTGCCCTGATGTGCTGACTCTTAGTCAGAGATTTCCTACCCTTGGAGAGCTCCCCGCAGAGGGCACCGGGTGATCAGGACCCAGTGTGACAAGGGAGCCCAGGTTCCTAGGTGGTAGTCATGGGGCTTCACAGCAAAGGAGACCCGAGAGTGAGCCCCCGGTGTTGGGAGGATGAAGTTGCCTAATCAACAGGAGAACTAAGCCTCGTGTGCTTGCGGGATTGCTTTCTCAGTATTTGCATGATGTTCAGCAAGTCCCCATCCCTGACCTGCATCTGAAATGTTGTTTCACATGTTGGCTGAGGCATAAGCAAACAGGATGTGGAGTCTGGAACCTGAGTTTCAGACGTGGCTGTCAGTTCACACCTGTGCTTAACCTCGGGTAGGTCACAGGGCCACTCTGGACCTAATTTCCTCTTCTGTGAAAGGTGACAGTTATGTTCTTGTCTCCCTTACGGGGTTGCTGGGGATGAAGGGATAAAATGAGATAATGTATACCAAAGTATTTTGCATGTGCTGAGCAAACAGTAGGTGCTCAGCATATGTTAACTGAGATTAAATCAGTTAATGTGTACAAACCCAGCTTTAGACTGCTTCATGCTTTGTCATAAGAATAAACAATTTCCCTTGGGATTCTTCCTCCTTCTTTTAGAGGGTTATGACATTTAAATGTGAAAACATAATTACTCAAAGAAGCTGTGAAAGCTAGATCACTGAGATTTGAAAAATCTAAATTGAATGATTATGCAAAGATTATATACTAGGGCCCTGCCGGGTAGCTCGGTTGGTTAGAGTGTCATCCCCATACACCAAGGTTGCAGGTTCGATTCCGGTCAGGGCACATACAAGAAGCAACCAATGAATGCATAAATAAGTGGAACAACAAATCTCTCTCTCTCTCTCTTTCTCTCTAAAATTAAAAAATAGATATATGGAATTTATTTTCTTCCTTTCTTCCTTTTCTTCTCAAGGACTCTAGATGGGGTAGCACATAAACTAGAGTTGTTTTTGTTGTTGTTGTTTTATTTTTTGTCTAAAAATCAACCAGGTCAATAAAAAGGTCCCAGCATCATATTTCGGTGTCAGGCGCAGGCCTCAGTTGTGGACTACTCATCAATTTCCATTATCGGAGCCAAGGACAGCTGCAGCCTGGGGATTATAACTTCAAGTTCAAAGACACGGAGAATGAAGGTTCAAATATGACTTTGATTGGACCTGAAGAGAATAATTTCTCTAGAGAGAAGGTGATCATCAGCTATTGTCCAGATGAGACTGAAGAGGTCATGGCCTCCCTGAAATTCTATTACTCTGGAGTGGGTTGTGCACTTCTAAGGGAGAAGTTCATTCACATCCTAAGGGAGTCTGGGGGTCCTAACAGATGATGAACTGATGCCTCTGAGGTCCACATTCCCAGCCCCAACCAGGTCCTCTGCTCTGGGACTGACCGGCCGTAGGTGGGACAGAGTGGGCTGGGCATGACCATGGCCCTGACGGAGCTGAGCTCCAATCCTGCCGCAGCCCCTTGTGCAGCCCGAACAAAGACCTTCCCAGATCTCCAGTCAGCGTTTGTGTCTGCAAAGAGAGGTTAAAATATCTCCTTCACCGGCTTCTTGTGGTGATTAAACACGATAATATATCAAAGCCTCTGCTCTATGGTAAGTACCTGCCACACACCCTGTGCTCACAGACGAGCAGTTTGTTTTTATTTAATGTCTGGATTCAAACAGTCTTGAGGGCCATCTTTCCAAAATCTTGTGCAAACAGAGACCGACAGCACTTTGTTTAGGTGGCTCGGAACATAACGCAAGAGAGCTACTCCTCTGGGGGGTGGGGGTGGGGTCCCTGGGCCAACCACGTCGGGCATCTGATGGGTGATCAGGGGGCACTGCTGCCTTGCTGGATGCCTACCTTCCCATCTACATAGGGCGGTCCCTTGGCAAATATACCGCCCTGTCATCCTTTCTCTCCTTTCAGCTTTTCTCTGCATCTCCATCTATGACTAGACCTGGATGCTACTTCCCCACCAAGAGAAAACCAAACAAGACAGCCATCAGCACTCACCCACTCTCCTCTCATCGATGATGGTGATGGAGGAGGAGACGGCATATGTCTTGGCGCCCTGGACACAGGCTTGGGCTGTGCCTTGTCTGTGTTGGGCTGCAAGAGCAGTCTGCTTACTTCCTGCCTGCCCAGCTACCCCTTGGTTTCTGCTCAGTCAGCTCCAGAATTCAAGTGGGGGGTCCTGGCAGCTGTCCCGGCTTTATGCAACGGGAGGGCAGCAGCTGGGGTGCAGCAGGCCAGCCCTGGAATAGGCACCAGGCAGACCTGGCAGGTTCCGATTCCCGCCCTGCCGTCTCCCAGCTGCGGGCAGGGCCTTGTGCCTGGGCTCTGAGACTCCCTTTCTCCTTCTGTGAAATGCTCGATGCTATCTACCTCCTAGTGTGACGGGGAGGCCCTAATGGGATAATATATATGGACAACCTGGCACAGAAAAGGGGGTCGATAGATGTTTGCTAATAGTCCAAGTGAAGTTCTTCGAAGCTGAAGATTTAGGAATTCAATAATACCACGATGCGAGAAGGCTCTGTGTTACCGTTAAATTTATTAAGAAACAAGCTAGGAAGTTATCAGATCCACCCGCACCCCCCCTAATGTTTGCACA